AGCAGTCTTGGCAAAGTTGGCTGATCCCACCCTGAAGTGATTGGACCCTGGAGAAGGTTTCTGTGGTGGCGCTGGTGGGTGTTGAGGGAGCTAACAGCTTGCAGTGGGAGTCAGGTAAACAAGCTGGGGCTGGAAATGTCTAAGGAAACTGATAGTGGTGCCTCCCTGGATTCACACTCCTTCCTTGTCACATGACTTCGAGAAGAGGATTCAGGCACATTCAAACCCAGTCTCCTCATCGAAGAGAAGTTAAGAGGGGCAAATGCTTAGAGTCACATAGCACAGTGTCTGTGGTGGCCAAAATCAAGGCTTACCCTGCTAGTTCAGTGATTAGAACCAGATGGCGCTAGTGGTAAAGAACCTGCCTGCCAATGCAGGAGGTGTAAGAGACGTAGGTTCGATCCTTGGTTCAGGAAGATCCCCTGGAGGAGGGCATGGCAACCCACTCCAGTATTCTTGCCTGGAGAACCGCTTGGACAGAGGAGCCTGATGGGCAACAGTCCACGGGGTTGCAAAGAGTTGGACACGACTGAGTGACTAACATATTCATTTTTTCATTTTCCTCCTCTCTGAAGATGAAATGCATACCCTGCTTCATTAGGTTATTGTTAAGATTAAATGATGTTAAGTCCCTAGAAATGACCAAGAGATGGTTTAACATTTTAATAAGTAATCTTCTGATTTTCCTCTCTGAACCTGTGTAAACGTGTATAACGATATGTATGCTAGTGTGCATATCCTAATAAACGGGATTATTTTTAAACCAGCTAGTTTTCATCTAATAATACATTGTGACTGCCTTTCCTTACCTCTAAATAGCCTTCTCTGTTACTTGATAGCTGCCTAGAACCCTGTGATATGATGGATGGAGCTGAATCCATATTCTGGTTTTGCACTAACATAATGCATTTTTAAACAAATTGGAGCAGATGTTGTACCATGAATGTATCTCTCGAGGTGACAGAAGCTTCCCACTCTTCTCAGAACATAAGCTAATCCTCCCTCCCCTGGTGTGAATAAGGATCTGGACATCCTTAGGGAGCTTAGAGCCTCCTTAACTCTGAATAGGGCAGCATTATGAATTTCATACACCGGCCCTAAATGGGGAACTCACACTCTGCCTCTCCTCCTGTCTCCCCACTTAAATCTAAAAAAAAAAATTTATTTATTTAGTGTCTCTGGTATGAACTGTCTCTTGGTTCCCAAGAAATCACAATCAGAAAGTCCACTGTTCCAGTTTTGCTGTCTGGTGTGTTCTCTCAGAAGGCGCTCTGTCCTTCTTAAAAGGCTTAGAGGTAAAAACACTAAGATTTCCTGCTTCCCAAGGTAGACCCGTAAGCCCTGCCTTTCACGGTGGAGAGCAGCAGTCATTTCTGTGCCATTCTGGGCACCATACCTTGCCATTGTAGTTTTATGAGTTTCTGGTGATGCTCATTCTTATTTGATTTCTTTGCTTTATGGATATAAAATTCTTCTTGCTGGTCTTAGGTTGGCAGAAATCATTAATTAGGTTCCCTTTAAGTTCCCCCCACCTCTGTGCTGCTTTTGCTTTTAGTCACTAGCAAGGTCACAAACCTTCCTCTTACCTCTCCATCCCCCACCTTCAGGGTGTATTACACAAGCTGACTCAAGAGGTGTAGCTGTCTATTATAGAGATTGAGCTCCAGGAGACGAGAGAGTGATGGGTAGAAGTGATTTAGGGTCAACAGCCCCTTGAGGGATAGACCTCTTAAACGGTTTATGGCTTTAAAGGGATTTTCTCCTATGGCCTAATCCTAGTTTGGGACCTGGCATTGTAACCACTTAAGACATTCTAAAGGGACTCCGCTGTGTTTCAGGATACTGTTGAGTGACCATCCTCGGTCCCAGCCATTTTCCTGTGATGTTTAAGAGAAAGGCTTGGTTTTTCCCTCTAATTGAGGGAGTATATCATCAACTCTAGATGGCGCTGGTGGTAAAGAACCCACCTGCCAATACAGGAGCCATAAGAGATGTGGGTTCCATCCCTGGGTCAGGAAGATCCCCGGGAGGAGGGCATGGCAACCCACTCCAGAATTTTTTCCTGGAGATTCCCAGGGGCAGAGGAGCCTAATGGGCTACAGTTCATAGAGTCACAAAGAGTCAGACAGACTGAAGCGACTTGACACATACATCATCAACTCTGAGGATAGATATAATGTGTTCTTTAGGGCCATGAGCCCGTCAAAATTAAGGAGGGGCTGCGGTGTCTCTGAGGTCTGTTGAAATGGCATCAGGACTTAGAAGAAGACTGTGAATTCCACATCTGGACTACTCAGAATATCAAGTTCAAGTATTTTCCAAAGTGCTTTTTTAATGTTTCCTGCTGACACTCTCCCTGAGAGAAAGGTTAAGTAGCATTATCCTCCTTGCACTGATGAGGACACTGAAACAATAAGAGGTTTACTGACTTGCCTTGGGCTCTGGGGGAAGGCTGGCCCCGCTGGAATGGCAGCTGCTCATAACTCCTGCTTTCCATGCCCAAGAGTCTGGTTGTAGAGCCCGGGCTGCCTCTGGGAAGCCCTTTCAGCAAAAGCAGGCAGGAAAAGCTGAAGTAGGGGCATCTTATTCAACCATAATTTTTTTCCAAACATTTTTTTTGATGTGGACCATTTTTAAATACTTTTCTTGAATTTGTCACAATATTGCTTCTGCTTTATGTTTTGGTTTTTTGCCTGCGAGGCAGGTGGGATCCTAGCTCCCTGACCAGGGATTGAACCCACGCCCCCACCCCACATTGGAAGGCAAAGTCTTAACCACTGGGCCACCAGGAAGTCCCACTGCTCAGCCATATTCTTGCAAGTCCTGTTTGGGGACTGCCGAGGCAGAGAAAGAGCTGGACACTTCAAAGTCAGTCCAAGATCTTTGACCTATAAACTGTTTTGCTGCCTTGAGCTAAGCTGTAAGAGTGATAGATGGCAGGGGTCAATTATTTTTGGCTCAAGTGCTCAGACTTGGCAGGGCGCCCTATACATTTGATATATAAACCTGACATCTACAAAAGGTTTAGGAATCTGATGTCATCTTCTCTCTACAGCTCACATGATGGCCTGTTCTGTAGAGGGGCTCTGTAGATGGCAGATCCTAGAAGATCCACCTCATGCTTTAAAGTAAAGAGAATTAATTGAAAAGGAGGCTTGTCTGGGTGGCAGAGGAACAGTGTCAACTCACGAGGCCACATGCCAACTCTCACTGGACTACAGCTTGATCCGCTTCCATCCATGAAGTGGATGGGTTTCCCTGGTGGCTCAGACAGTAAAGAATCTGCCTGTAATTCAGGAGACCTGAGTTTGATCCCTGGGTCAGGAAGATCCCCTGGAGAAGGGAATGGCTACCCACTCCAGTATTCTTGCCTGGAGAATTCCACGAACATAGGAGCCTGGCAGTCTACAGTCCCCTTGGGTCACAGACAGTCAAACAACTGAGTGACTAACACTTACATGAAGTGGATTATTCTATTAAAATGGCTCTATAGCTTTAATGATGGGGTAACAGTGGTATTCCTATTTTACAGATGAGAAACCTGAAGGTCAAAAAGCAGACTGCACAAGCCTAAGGCCAACTTGTAAATAGTACCATTCTGGGTACCATACCTTTCTGTTTTAGTTTTGCCGATTGTGCCAAGGGATGTTCCTATTAAGGTCGATCTACAATTAAAGTTCATAAATAAGGCAAAATATGTAATCAGGTTCTAGAGATGGCTTCTGATACAGAGGGTCCCTGTGTCCCCTCCACCTGTCCCCAAGAGACCTACTAAAGCTTGAACTTCTTGGCTCACTGCAGGAAGCAGCAGGTCCTCACTGCAGAGCCAGGTGCTGCTGCTGGTAGTGACATAGTCTTAGATGAGAAGTCAGTATATTGATGCTTGTTATTCTCCTGTCTTGACTGTACTTTTCCTCTGGTTCCTTCCAGACCCCCTCCTAATTAGCTAAAATCCTCACAAAGACTGATGTGGGTTTCAGGAGGTCAAGATGCCTGCCCCGCCACACACCCAGTTTTACTGAGGTATAATTGACAAATAAAAATAGTGTATGTTTAGAGAAGGGCAAGCTTTAACAAGAGTAAAGAACTCATAGAACTTTGAGGCAGCATGATTAGTTTAATCCCCAGTTTCTGCCAATCTGGCTGAGACGGCAAAGAATCTGCCTGCCGTGCAGGAGTCCTGGGTTTGATCCCTGGGTCAGGAAGATCCCATGGAGAACACTGAGTGACTATCACTAACACCAGCAAGAAAAATTTTATATCAGTAAAGAAATCAGTGTCACCAGAAACTCATAAAACTAAGATGGCAGGGTATGGTACCCAGAATAGCACTGCTTACAAGTTGGCCTTGGGCTTGTGGGGTCCTCTTTGAGCTTCAAGTTTCCTCATCTGTAAAATGGGAGTACCACAGTTACCCCACTGTTAAAGCTATAGAGCCATGCTAATAGAATAATCCACTTCATGAAAGTGTTAGTCACTCAGTCCTGTCTGACTCTCTGTGACTCCATGGACTGTAGCCCGCCAGGCTCCTTTGTTCATGGAATTCTCTAAGCAAGAATACTGGAGTGTGGATAGCCATTCCCTTCTCTGGTCAGGGTATCTTCCCAACCCAGAGATTGAATTTGGGTCTCCTGAATTGCAGGCATATTCTTAACCATCTGAACCACCAGGGAAACCCATCCATTTCATAGATGGAAGCGGATCGACTGTAATCTGGTGACATTTGGCATGTGGCCCCATGAGTTACCACTGTTCCTCTGCCATCCAGACCAGCTTCCTTTTCAGCTGATTCTATTTACTTTAAATCATGAAATGGAGCCTCTAGGATCTGCCATCTAGGGCTTGGAACTCTATACATTTTATTGGACTGTGCCATCAATTTTCATGGCAATCAAAGCCAGACCCGGTGAGGGGATGAGGCCAGACCCACGTGATCTTGATCTGTTTGTTTTGTCTGGAGCAGGTATCCCTGGTCACCTCCCTCATCCTGTTCTTCCTGGATGGAACAAGAAGACAAACAGGGTGTGTGTGAAGCCCAGGACTCGCAAGACAAGGGCATGGGCTCTGATTTTGAGAACTGTGAAGACAGGGAAGGGGACCCAGACGAGAGAGGAATGGGCTCTAACCCACAGGATGCAGACAAGAGAGAAGGCCACCTGGAGCGGGAGATGGGCTCCAACCCACAGGATGAAGCTCTGAGAGGACGCTCAGAGGACAGGGAACTGATGTCTAACGTCTGCACAGGTGAGGAAAGAGCTGGGGAATTTCGGTGGAAGTTGCCCCATTCACATTGTTTTCTAGCTCCTTCAGAGTGATAATCAGGGGCAGCATTCTTAGGAGGCAGCTTTCTAGCTGCTGCTGCTGCTAAGTCGCTTCAGTCGTGTCCGACTTTGTGCGACCCCATAGACAGCAGCCCACCAGGCTCCCCTGTCCCTTGGATTCTCCAGGCAAGAACATTGGAGTGGGTTGCCATTTCCTTCTCCAATGCATGAAAGTGAAAAGTGAAAGTGAAGTCGCTCAGTCGTGTCAGACTCTTAGCGATCCCATGGGCTGCAGCCTACCAGGCTCCTCCGTCGGAGACCATTAAGCAGATTCTGTACCGCCTCACAGCATCTTTCCAGGTGGTGCAGTAGTAAAGAATCTGCCTGCCAACGAGGGAAATGCAAACAGACACAGATTAGATCCCTGGGTCGGGAAGATGCCCTGGAGCAGGAAAATGGCAACCCGCTCCAGTATTCTTGCCTGGGAAATCCCATGGACAGAGGAACCTGGCAGACTAAAGTACATGGAGTCACAAAGAGTCGGGCATGACTGAGTGATGGCACACACACCGTCTTAAGTCTGAAGAACATCTCTTTTTTTAGTCTGGTCTGGGGAGGAACTGTAACTGGTAAACAAGGGTGAAGAGGGTAACTCACTGGTGTGTACTTTATAATACAAAATATTGCTATAAAATGACACTTGTTAACAGCACAAGAAGGAACGCAGGTAATACTGGGTCCTACCATCCTGGGGTTGCTGGAGAGTTATAGGAGTTGCTTAGCACAGATCCAGATGTTTACAGTTACAGTTATCATCCCTGCTTGCAGATAAATAAACCCAATGGTAAGAGACTTGCCTGAGTTCACAAGGCTAATACCCAAAGTGCCCAAGGACTCTCTTAAATCTTCGCTGTTCTTCATCTGGAAAGAGAATAATGGGCCTCCATCCACTTCCTTGGTTCCATCTTTGGGCTTTTGTTGCTTGATCCTGCTCATGCCCTGGGGACTGAAATGAGCTGAAATACCTTACGATCAGGATCCTGAGGTTACAGTTCTTCCCCAGGACACCTCCCAGACCCCCTGCGCCCTCCCCTGCAGTGCACAGAATGGTCTTTCATATGCCTGGGGATAAGCAGCCAGAGGCAGATAGACGTGTGTTCCGGGTCAGCCTCTAGGCTGGACTCACCAGCTAGCTCCAGATCCTGCATTCACCTCTCCTTTTCCCTACTCCCCGCCACCTCCCCCCCCCACCCGCCCCCCAAACACACACACGAGTAAAGCCCTTAAGTTGAGATGTGTTTGGTTTGTTGTTCCACCTTAAGCTGTTGCAGACTAACCAATCATACGAAAAAACAGACCAGTGAGTTAGGCCAGGTGGTTCTTGTGGTTGGCCAGAGTGGTCTTGTCTTTTGAGGCTAGGGCCTTGAAAGGGATTGGTGGCTCATAGAGTGGAGCAGATCTCTTCTGAGATCACAGAAAGTCCCGCCTGGCCCAGAGTTGACCATCTCAAGCGCGCCGCCAGGGCTTCAGGCGGCCACGCTGAGCAGAGCCGCAGGTCCAGTGGTGGGGCCTAGGCCCAGAGACAGCTGCTTGAAGAACTGGAGGGGCAAGGGTCAGATGAGCGCTCTCGCTTTAGGCCATCCCTGAGTCTCCAGGTGGGAAGGAGGCTGGAATTGGGGGTTGAGTGGGCAGGGACCTTGGAGAGACGTGTTAAGAGGTCCCGGGGGAGATTACCCTGTGGCCCACACTGTTACTGAGACAGGCTTCCTCTGGGTTTACCTCTTGAGCGCCAAGCGCAGTCACCCCCATGGCCGCCTTTTCTGTTGCAGAGGGGCTGCTGAGCGAGGAAGAGGGGGTTGCAGGCCGTGAGGAAGAGGATGACCAATCTAGCGTAGCTGAGATGGCCATGTTCCCAGGGCTGCCTGAGTCCGACAGCATTTCCCGGAGCCCCCGGGAAGAGGAGGAAGAGGAGAGCACAGGCGAGAACCAGCTGGAGGGGGAAGAGGAGCAGCCGGCCCCCGCCGTGCTTCCCTGGAGGCGGCATCTCTCGCTGGGGAGTCGGCACCGGGGCGACAAGCCTGCCCACCGCCGCTTCCGCCGTCTCCACCACCCCATGTCCATGGACCTCGGCGAGCTCGACAGCCTGATGGCCAGCATCATGGACGCGCCCACCATCTGCCCCGACTGCGGGGAGAGCTTCAGCCCCGGCGCCGCCTTCCTGCAGCACCAGCGCATCCACCGCCTGGCCGAGGCCGCCGCGGCCGCCAGCCTGGAGCCCTTCGGCTTCGCGGGCGAGTGCAAGGCGGTGGTGGGGATGATGGGTGTGGGCGGGGGCTTCGCGGCAGGGCCGGCGCTGGCCCGGCCCCCGCGCGAGAAGCCCTTCCGCTGCGGGGAGTGCGGCAAAGGCTTCAGCCGCAACACCTACCTGACCAACCACCTGCGGCTACACACGGGCGAGCGGCCCAACCTGTGCGCTGACTGCGGCAAGAGCTTCAGCTGGCGCGCCGACCTGCTCAAGCACCGGCGGCTGCACACGGGCGAGAAGCCCTACCCGTGCCCCGAGTGCGGCGAGGCCTTCAGCCTCAGCTCGCACCTGCTGAGCCACCGGCGCGCGCACGCGGCGGCCAGCGGCGCGGGGCCGGCGGCGCTGCGGCCCTTCGCCTGCGGAGAGTGCGGCAAGGGCTTCGTGCGCCGCTCGCACCTGGCCAACCACCAGCGCATCCACACGGGCGAGAAGCCCCACGGCTGCGGCGAGTGCGGCAAGCGCTTCAGCTGGCGCTCGGACCTGGTGAAGCACCAGCGCGTGCACACGGGCGAGAAGCCCTACATGTGCTCCGAGTGCGGGGAGGCCTTCAGCGTCAGCTCGCACCTCTTCACGCACAAGCGCACGCACTCGGGCGAGCGGCCCTACGTGTGCCGCGAGTGCGGCAAAGGCTTCGGGCGCAACTCGCACCTGGTGAACCACCTGCGCGTGCACACGGGCGAGAAGCCCTTCCGCTGCGGCCAGTGCGAGAAGCGCTTCAGCGACTTCTCCACGCTCACGCAGCACCAGCGCACGCACACGGGCGAGAAGCCCTACACGTGCATTGAGTGCGGCAAGAGCTTCATCCAGAGCTCACACCTGATCCGCCACCGCCGCATCCACACGGGCAACAAGCCGCACAAGTGCGCGGGCTGTGGCAAGGGCTTCCGCTACAAGACGCACCTGGCGCAGCATCAGAAGCTGCACCTGTGTTAGGGCTGGGCCCAACGGAGGCTGCCCGGGGCAGGGCAGGGCAGGGCGGGGTGGGGCGGGGGGTGGGCGATCACGTGGGGACTAGGAGTCCTGGGGACAGACCCCATAGAAAGAAACGGGGAAGGGGGGCGGGAGGCACAATCTGAGAACGACTGGGAGCCTTTTAGGTGTTAGGAGTCCCGAAGGGGTGGGTTGAATAAGAGTTGTTCTTTGGGAGGTGCTGTATTTTGCCTGCCTCCTCCCTAACGGTGAAATGTTTGGGAGATGTGCTTGAGCGTGGTTATTTCATCAAATGCACGCTGTAGGGAGTCAAGAGTGTGGAGGAGCAGGCATTTTGAGGACTTACAGGAAGAGGAGATATGGGGTGGGGGAAGCTACAGGATGGCAGGCAACACAGTAGGTTGGGCCGTGATGGCCTCTGGGAAGCAGGGAGTGGGTGTGGATGGAGTGAGTTATGCGATAAAATCAAAGGCAGGTATGAGTAATTCTATCCTGGCTTTACCAGGTATTAAGCCACTGTTTGCCCTGTTCCCCCCACATCAGCTGCAGTCCCACAAAAAGTAGAGGAACTTTGTCTGTCCTACAGGAGTGGATATTTTGTGTACTCTTCCCTTCCTTTCTCTGAGCCACAGCTAGCTGCTATTTTGAGACGTCCAGGGGAAACTGGGCAGAATTTTCAGCTACACATCCTCATTTCCAGGGCAGAATCTCTGAGGTTTAGAAATTCATTTGTAACTGGTTTTCAGATCAGGGAGCGCTTGGTACTGCTCCTGGTTCTTTGCTACTTTAAAGTAATCTAGCTTCATGCAGGGTTAGGGCGGTCTATGTGGATGAATACCCCCGCCCCCGGTGGCAGGTGTGATCCAGGCCCAGTGTTCTTTCAGGTCTCCTCTGTGGTCTTTAAGTGCTGGGAAATGGAACAATCCCAGCCATGTGTTTCTTTTCCTTTCCCAGGTCAGCTTGATGCTTGTTTCAAGTGAAACTTGGGCCATCAACGGTGGCCCTAGTGACCTGCTGCAAAAGTCAGTTTGCTCAGAGTTTTGCTGGCCTTCTGGGAGAAATCCAGGAAAGCAAGATGTTCCCGTGCTGGAGCACAAGGCTCCTTTGTCTCATTGGTATCTGTGTACCTCTCCCCCTCTGCAGTGACTGGGGAGCTATCCCAACTCCCACCTCCACCCATATGGTTATGGGCTCTCGTCTGAGCAGAAATTTCTCTCTCCTACACAGGGAGGCACAGTAGAAAACTCAAGACTTTACATAAGGAGGGCACAGGCAGGGATAGGTATGGATGCAAAATTGCCAAATAGCACAAGCAATGAATGTTGTCTGGTGGTTCTGTAAATGCCAAAATAGCACTTTTGTATTTGTAAAGTGCTTCATGCTTTTGAATGATTGTTAGTTGTTTCTCACATCTTTGTGAGGTAGGACAGTATTATGACCCCTGTCTTAGGGAGGCCAGGGGACAGGAGTGCGACAGGCGGTTCTGAAGAGAGGCAGACAGCAGTGTGGATAGGCGGGTCTGACCTATTGTGCTCTCTAGTTTAGCTGCTAGGAAGACTCACCTGTCGTGATTTATATAATAAGGACACTGAAAATTCTTATGCTTGATGGAAAAACTTAAGGCTAGTCTAGAAGGGCCAAAGATGTCCTTGTTGACAAAGCTGGTCTTTGTCATGTAATTAGAGTGTCCTAGATATGTTCCATTTCTAGTCGGGGCTATAGATGACTCTTGTATAGACTTCAGTTACCTATGCTGAAAATCCCTCCCTTAGGTTAGCCTTTAGAAGGTAGAGTTGTGGAAAGCGGTTTTGTTTTCTTTATTAGTGATTGTTACCCTCTACTTTTCATGAAAGCATCTTCACAAACTGTTGGACACACTTGACAAGGAAAAAAAAGTCCACAAGATCGTTTTTGTCTTTTAGCAAACTTTCTATGGATGCTGGTAGGTTATACTTGGTCAGTTGTATTTTAGCAAAGAACTTCTTTGGGGACTGTAGGAAAGCATGTTTTTGCCATCATAACACTTAAAAAAAAAAAAAGTCCTGAGAAATCTGGGTTTGTATAATGCCTGTTGATCTTGCTCTCTAAATTGGTTTATTGTTATTCACAAATGCAAATAGATTTTTAAACTATAGATAGTTTTGGAAGATACTAATTCCTTTTTATTTTGGTTGAGAGTAATCTGAGCAAAGCAAGTGTCCATTATTTATTCTGACTCTTGAAGTCTGAATATTAAGTGTATAAGACTCACATGAAAATAATATAGCCAATTTGTAGGTAATCTTATTCCTTTTTTTAAAAAATGCACATCTACCTCTTCCAGCTGTTTTAAGTTCTTTCAAGTCTGTGCCTGTGAAATCTCATCCAACTTTGGGTTATTCATGGGTTTATGATCCACATTCTGGGTCACTTGGTCTTTTGCTGACATTTTCATACTATTGCAGTCTCATCTGCAGCAGCTCTCGAGCATGGGTTCAATGGGAAGAGGAGGCTGAAACTAATGTTCAGTAATTTACTGGCAGCAGAAGTCTTTGGATGTCACTGACCTCCTCTGTTCTTTGAGTTACCATAGATAAGAAAGCCAGCTACTACTTCAGGATTCCTTCTATGAGTGCATCCCTTAGCAAAGGAAAACAGTCCAGCCACCAACTCCCTACTCATGGTGCATCTAAGATGTGATTCCATTTTCCTTACAATTCTTCAGGGAACATAGTTGCATTAAGTGAGGTTAAATGCATTCAGGAAGTTGTTTCTTATATTTAGTCCTAGAAAATTAGTCTTTCTAAAGCAAACCCTGGTAACTGTGGTTCACCCTTAAAAATGTTCATCTGAAGACTCCTACCAACTCATTCATGATGGTGGAGGCAAATGTATCATTTGTCTCCTGGGGAGCTGGGTCAAGTGCAGGCTGCACTTTTCTGAGAACAGAGAGCAGGTTTAAATAGGTTAAATGGCTTGATTAAATATTGAGCTCTGAGTTGGAAGGAGAAGATAAGTTAACCCCTTGAGCCATGTGGCCTCTTTAAGATCCTGAGGCTATACATATGTGAAAAAGTACAAATTAAGAACTGTGTTCATAGACAATCGGAACTGTGTTTCTGAAGTTTGTGCACATTTTCCTTCACTGTAATGTTATTTTACAACTGTTTGTTATAATAGTGAATAATTTAATGATCCTAAAAGTAACAGGTTTTGTGTGAGTGTGTGCTTGTGTATGTGAGAATTGCCTTATTTTCAGGTTGTTTTATTTAAATGATGGTTCCTTGAACAGCATTCTGGTGTTCAGCAACCAATATGGAATATTTGTCATTAAATCCAGATCAGTCTTTTACCATGTCAGTCTTTCTTCTTTACCCATTAAATAGCACTTGTCACCCATTAAATAGCACTCAGTTCAATCTATGGAAGTTATGCTCTGGTAGAACAAGGGTCAGCAAGAAGCCAAATCCAGCCCCTCCCTTTGTGTGAATAAAATTTTGTTGGGAGACTTCCCTAGTGGTCCCGTGTTTAAGAATCCACCTTTCAATACAGAGGACTCGGTGTGATCCCTGGTCAGGGAACTAAGATCTCACCACAACTGGAGAACCCAAGTAGCAAAACAAACAAACAAACAAAAAAACAAAAACTGCAGCAAAAGATCCTGAGTGCTGAAACTAAGACCCAACAAAGACAAATAAATATTTTTTAAAAAATTATTGGGATGCAATTCTACTTAGCCTTCCTTACATAGTGTCTATGGCTGCTTGTGCACTAAATGGCAAGGTTGAGTAGTTGTGACAGAGGCTATGTGACCCACGATCTCAAGATATTTACCACCTGAATCTTTACAGAAAAGGTTTGCTCACTCCTGATTTAGAATGTCTAGGTGAATCCTAGACCATTCTGGAATTGGCTGATGTCTTAAGTAGTCTGCCCATTCTCACCAATAGTTCAGAGCAACATTTCTGCACTAATGTGGCTTTGGGCTGATGGGATTGTGTTACTGCTATACTGTTGTAGCAGTTTCCAAAGATCTGTCTTCATTCCTCGTAAGAAGCAATCTGTGGGGAACTTTGGCAGTAGGCAGGAAGGACCACAGTGACAGAGGAGGGAAGCAGTTTCAGGTCCCATTTCTGATCTGTAAAAAATGTATTCCTGAATCACACAACAAAGTATTTTCTTTCACCCAGTTTTCAAAAATATAGCTTAATGACTCCAGATAATGTGGAATGCAACTTATCAGCTAGACTAAACTTGCTCAAAGTATTTTCTAGCTAGTCTCTGCCCCTGAAAACAATGACACAGTAGTTTGAAAAGAAGCGGTTCTCAAGTAATAGAGAAGAGCATGAAAGGCAGCTTAATTTCTTTTCGTGATCGCAACTACCTCCTCAAGTGAATATCCACAGCCCTTGCGCTGCTGAGCAGGGCCAGCGACTAGGTTCTAGTCCTGTAAGGAGGCAGTCAGTTCTGTGATTGCAGCATTTCTCCCTGAGCCTGACTCTTCTGGGTCGAAGCAACCACCAGTCTAATTCCTAGTCCCCGGGAAGCTATGTTAAACCAAGCATTGGAAGTACGCATTCAGTGCCTTATGGGAACACAGCAGTAAACCTGGCCTTAGGTGATGCATGGTCTTAGGTGATGCATGGTGAGGGGGTGCTCAACCTGGACTTCAATTAGGGCAGCCTCTATCCATGTTTCAGTTAGAGAAAGTATGTGTAATCAACTTGGAATTCTCCAGGTTTGATTCATTTCAGACAGATTTGCTTAATATAACATTAACTGCACAGTAGGATTACCTTGTTAGTTGCTAAGTCATGTTTGACTCTTTGTGACCCCATGGACGACAGCATGCCAGGCTTCCCTGCCCTTCAGTATCTCCTGGAGTTTACTCAAACTCATATTCATTGAATTGGTGGTGCCACCCAACCATCACATCCTCTGTCACCCCCTTCTCCCACCTTCAATCTTTCCCAGCTTTAGGGTCTTTTCTAGTGAGTTGGCTCTTCCATCAGGTGGCCAAAGTATTGGAGCTTCAGCTTCAGCATCAGTCCTTCCAATGAATATTCAGGGTTGATTTCCTTTAGGGTTGACAGGTTGGATCTGGAGAGTTTTAAAAACAACCCTATCCCAAACAAACAAAACTGTTCAAGGCACTGGTTAGCTGGTCTGGGGTGATGCCCAAGTACATCATGATTTTATAAAGGCTTCCCAGGTGATTTTAATGGATATTTCATGGAAACTCAGCCAGGATTGAGAGGTCTGTAGTATGAATTAAGCACCTCCTTTCTTCCTTGGGGATTATGGTTAGGTAAGACTCCTAAGCCGCAAATCCTTTTGTCTGCCTTGGGGTACAGAGGGTCAGATACAAAAGGTGTTGTCAGATGAGCAAGCTCTGCTGCCTGTCTACTCTTGGTAGACCTCTGTTTCACACATGCCTTCCCCAAATAGTTAAAGATAATAAGAAAGAGTCAGGAAAAATGCCTGTCTGCTATTCCTCAGATAATGCCCCAGGGGCATCGCTGGCTGCCACCGGCCCTTTCTCTGTATTTGCCAACTGCAGAAAGCCTGCCTTCCCTTCTTTCTGA